GGAAACGGTAGACTCTTTTGGAACACTCAAAACTTTATATATTTTACTTTATACTGTGTCCCAAATAAAAAAAATATTGGGGCTGTAGAAAGTAGAGACTTTCTTCATTTTGGCATCTAACACAAACAGTAATGTATTCTATCCTATTAGGATCATGGCTGAGAAGATGTGCAAAGCCCTCCACACATGGAGAAATGATGACCCCCAATGGCTGAACACAGGCATTTGCACCACCCACTCTCTCCACCTCACAAGGGGCACATCATAGCTTCCCTGGTTCTGCTGCTACACTGCTCAGATGCTTGCACATTCTACTCTTCTTAGGATCTTGGTATGGTTGCTGTTAGAATTATGTTGTATTTGCTCAATAGATATTAAAGATGTCACGTAGGGCCAGGGGAAATTTGGATAAGAGAAGTTTTAGGAGTTAACAATCATAGGAGAATCAGGAGTGATTTCAGCTCAGGCCACATGGCCCATTAATAGTGGGCAGAATAGTGGGAAGGGGCCTGGAACAAGTATAGTCTTTCTTTCCAAGATGAGCTGGCTACTGGGAAGGATATTTACATTGGTGTGATTATTCCAGAAAGCAAATACCCCACAGATCTACCAATTCTACGCTTTGGCATATCTGAGACACACCTCTAAGCTATTCTGTTGATTCATGCACATGTCCTAGTCCACTGAAAAAGTTTTGGTGAGATATCAGAGAATATCCCCAATTATCTGGAAACACTATTAAAATACTTCTCTTTTTTCTAATTACATATCTGTGTGAGGCTGTATTTTCTTCATTTGTTTCAATCAAAACGACGTTATCAAAACAGGCTGAATGCAGAAGCACGAGTGTCTTCTAATAAGACTTCAAAGAAATCAGCAAAGATGTAAAGCAATGCCATTCTTCTCACTAAATTTATTTCATAAATAGTTGTTTTTCATTTTTCCGTTCCCTTATCTATAAATAGAGAATAAGAACTGTACAACCTTGAAAGATACAGCTTCCATAGTGGCTCTGGGCTTTGCCACATGGCTTGCTTTGGCCAGTGGGACACTAGTTAGTACAATGCAAGCAGAGGCTTGAAAAATGCTACAATACTAGGTCTTATCCTCTTTCTTCTTCCGAAATGCAGTTGCTGGCCGGGCGCGGTGGCTCACGCCTGTAATCCCAGCACTTTGGGAGGCTGAGGCAGGCGGATAATGAGGTCAGGAGATCGAGACCATCCTGACTAACACAGTGAAACCCCGTCTCTACTAAAAAAAAAAAAAAAAAAATTAGCCAGGCATGGTGGCGGGCGCCTGTAGTGCCAGCTACTTGGGAGGCTGAGGCAGGAGAATGGCTTGAACCTGGGAGGCGGAGCTTGGAGTGAGCAGAGATCGCGCCACTGCCCTCCAGCCTGGGTGACAGAGTGAGACTTGGTCTCAAAAAAAAAAAAGAAAAGAAAAGGAAATCCAGTTGCTATATAAAAAAGTCCAGGTTAGCCTGATGGACACATGTGGCCCAGGAAACAGCCAGTCTTTCTAGCGAGGCTTGGACCATTCAGCCCAGTTACAAGATGACTGTAGCCATGACCCCAGGCAAGGCGTACGTAAGAATGGCCCAGCTGAACCCACTCCAAATGTCTGGTCCACAGAATTGTAAATTATTATTATTTTTTATTATTATTTATTTTTTGAGGAAGAGTTTCGCTCTTGTTGCCCAGGCTGGAGTGCAATGGCGCGATCTTGGTTCACCGCAACCTCTGCTTCCCGGGTTCAAGTGATTCTCCTGCCTCAGCCTCCCGAGTAGTTGGGATTACAGGCATGCACCACCATGCCAGGCTGATTTTGTATTTTTAGTAGAAACAGGGTTTCTCCATCTTGGTCAGGCTGGTCTCAAACTCCCGACCTCAGGTGATCCACCCGCCTTGGCCTCCCAAAGTGCTAGGATTATAGGTGTGAGCCACCACACCCAGCCAAATTATTGTTTTAAACCACTAAATTTCAGGGTAGTTCTTAATGCAGCAGTAACTAATACACAAAATATCCATGTCCTATAGTAATATCCGCATTTTTACCAAGTGGCCGTTTGTTTGAAAAAAACCATTTTTAAGGCCCAGCGCAGTGGTTCACACCTGTAATCCCAGCACTTTGAGAGGCCGAGGCAGGCAGGTCAGGAGTTCGAGACCAGCCTGGCCAACACAGAAAAACCCCGTCTCTACTAAAAATATACAAATTAGCCGGGCACGGTGGCGCGTGCCTGTAGTCCCAACTCCTCGGGAGGCTGAGGCAAGAGAATCACTTGAACCCAGAAGGCAGAGGTTGTGGTGAGCCGAGATTGCGCCACTGCACTCCACCCTGGGCATCAGAGCAAGACTCTGTCTCAAAAAAAAAAAAAAAGCATTTTTTAAAAACAGTGTAGAAATATTTTTAAAAGTGTTTAAACTTAAATAACATTTGGTGTTGTTTATGTTTTTTACATATATGCATGTTAGACCAGTTCTCAAAGCACGGTCTGCAGATGCCTGAGAGTCTCCAAGGTCAAACTATTTTTATAATATTATTTTTCATTTTTCAAAGTGTTGACATTTGTATGGATGGTATGAAAGCAGTGATAAGTAAAATTGCTGGCAGCTGGGTGCAGTGGCTTATACCTGTAATCTCAGCATTTTGGGAGGCTGAGGCAGGCGGATCACCCAAGGTCAGGAGTTCGAGACCAGCCTGGCCAACATGGTGAAATCCCGTCTCTACTAAAAATGCAAAAATTAGCCAAACGTTGTATCAGGTGGCTGTAATCCCAACTACTCGGGTGGCTGAGGCAGGAGAATTGCTTGAAACTGGGAGGTGGAGGTTGCAATCAGTCAAGATTGTGCCATTGCACTCCAGTCTGGATGATAATAGCGAGAATCCCTCTCAAAAAAATAAAAAATTAAAATTAAATAAATAAAATTGCTGGCACCTTAGTATTAATCAATGCAGTGGCACCAAACTGTACTAAAATATTGTATTCTTTGTCATATACCCATAGTTTGAAAAGAAGGCAGTTTCAATTAAGAATTTCCTTGATAAACCAGTAAAAGATATTAATTTTGTTACATTTTTACTTTGAGTACATGTTTTTAATATTCTGTGTGACTAAACAGGTAGTAGCATAATGTACTTCTACATACCAAAGTATGATAGTTGTCTTGAGGAAAAGCACCTGTGTGACTGAATTATGAGCTCAATTCGTCATTTTTTTCTTTCTCTTTTTGAGATGGAGTCTCACTCTCCTCTGGGGTTCAAGCGATTCTCCTGCCTCAGCTTCCTGAGTAGCTGGGATTACAGGTGTGTGCCACCACACCCAGCTAATTTTTGTATTTTTAGTCGAGACAGAGTTTCATCATATTGGTCAGGTTGGTCTTGAACTCCTGACCTCGTGATCTGCCTGCCTGGGATCCCAAAGTGCTGGGATTACAGATGTGAGCCACCGCACCCAGCCTCTTTTCTTGTCTTTTTGAAACAGAGTCTCACTCTGTCACCCAAGGCTGGAGTGCGGTGGCGCTCTCAGCTCACTGCAACCTCTACCTCCTGGGTTCAAGCAATTCTTCTGCCTCAGCCTCCCGAGAACCTGGGATTATAGGCATGATTATAGGCACTACCATGCCAACTAATTTTTTGCATTTTCAGTAAACACAGGGTTTTACCATGTTGGCCAGGCTGGTTTGGAACTCCTGACCTAAAGTAATATGCCTGCCTCAGCCTCCCAAAGTGCTGGGATTACAGGCGCAAGCTACCATGCCTGGCCTAATTAGCCGTTTTTTTCAAAGAAAACCATTTTGACGAGAAAGAACACTGACCAACTATAGTTATTTAGACTTAAATGTTTAGCAGACATTTTCTCAAAAATGAACCAAGGGAACTTGTCAGTTCAAGGAAAATGACACATTTGTTGTCAATGACAGAATTTGAACTTTTAAGCAAAAATTAGAATTTAGAAAACTTTTATTTGCCACCATGATCTTCAGTGCTTTCCAATAGTTAAAAGACTTTTCTACTGAGATCAGTAGTGATTTTAAGGAATGTGATTTAATGTTGTATAATGAAATCTGTTAACGTTTGGAAGATTTGCATAACTCAGCGAACCAGTGTTTTCCAAATAACCAATGCATCACGTTATGTGGGGAAAAGATCCAATGGACAGAACAGTGGATTTTATGGAGTACAAAATGTCATTGATACGGCTTCAGATTCCACATGCAATTACCCTTTAAGAAACTACCACTTTTCAAGTTTTAATGGGATATCAGAAACTGTCTGAAAGGCTATTAAAATTTTTCTTCCTTTTCCTACTACATATCTGTGTGAGGCTGCATTTTATTCCTTGGCTTCAATCAAAACCTATCAAAACAGACTGAACACAGAAGCACGTGGGTATATAGGTGTCTTCTATTAAGCTAGACTTTAAAGAAATTTGCAAAGTTGTAAAACAATGTCATTCTTTTTGCTAAATGTATTTTGTAAATGGTTATTCTTCATAAAAATATTTGTGTTAATATGTAATAGTTGTGTTATTTTTTAATGAATAAATAAATATTAAGAGTATAAAGGGGTCCTCAAACTAAAAAGTTTGAGAACTACTGTACCCTCATAACTTCTCTGGGAAGTAGAAGTGGTTTAACCTACTTTTTACAGATGAATAAATAGGCTCTGCAAAGTTAAGTAACTTGCCCAAGATTCCCAGAGCACCGTGACTGACTGCACATGAGAAACACCAGGGAGCTTTTAAAAACTCCCATTAAGTGTTCTCAGATGGGGAGCAGGCATTTCTTTTTAAGGTCCCAGGTAATTCTCATTTGCAGATGGGGTCAAGGAACCACTGTCTATTAGGTGTCAAGTCTCCCAAACACCAATCTGATTAGTAAGTCTACAAAATATATTTTCTTGTATATTTAGACCACATCATTGTAGGTTCTGAATTCACCCAAAGACCACACAAAGTTAAAAAAAAAAAAAAAAATTCTACTGGATTTCATTTTACTTACAGGATTCTTGCTTTGCCACTCAACAGGATAGTTGTAATCTTGCATGATCCAGGGATGGTTCAATAGATTTTTCATGGAAATCCGTTTCTTTGGGTCCACCTAGTGGCCATTAAAAAGTAGTTAGAGATTAACATTTCAAATACAGAACATAGAACACCTTTTCTCCTGAGAACTAAAAATGCACCAGAACAGATGTAAACTTTATCATCACAAAAATGCTGTCAAAGACCTTAAAATGGCCTTGAAATAAATTCTTTTAAAAAGGCAACAGAGGCAAGAAAACTATAGCAAACAACACAGGCTTAGAAGATAAATGTTTAACAAACATGAACTTCATTGGTATGGACATTATTCATGAAGTTCAGTCAATCTATTGTATGATGTAATAGTCTTTTGCTGGAAAACCTATTCACGGGAAATATTCACCAATTTAACATTCAAGCAGCCACAATGCAGGGCATTCATACTAAATAGGCAATCTCTACCTCCAATGAGCTTACAATCACACAGAACAAGTTGAAAAGCACACCTTTCCATTTGTAATTTTCAAATGTAAGGAGAGAAAAATTAATCAACAAAGATTTAAGGTTTTTTTGGAGTCTAGAAGAAAGAGTAAGGCATTTTCAATCTCATTACGGAGATTTGGTGGTCTGGCCCTACTTAATCAAGGTGAGTAAGTCTGAGGTAAATTTTGAATAAAAGATGGAGATGACTTAATAGATGAAAAAAACAGAAGATATTCTGAATACATAATGAAAAAAAAATTGCACTAATAAGATACTCAGATTTTCAAAGTGTTTCCTATCAATCTCACTTTGTCCTCATACTACTACATAGCAGTGAGGCCAGGCTCAGAACCCCCATTTTATAGATCAGACTAGGTGATACATTGATTAATTGGTAGAGTGCTTACCTAGGCTTCAGCACTCCTATCTCTCACCCTCAGAGGCTCATTCCACTAAAACTGTGGTTCTCAAAGTGTGGCCCCAAGACCTGAAGCATCGGCATCTTCTGGGAGCTTGTTAGAAATGCAAAATTTCAGTCCTGCCCCAAATCTATTGAATTACACACTCTGGGGCTGGAGTTCAGCAATCTGTATTTTAACAAGCCTGGGGTAATTTTGATATCTGCTGAAGTTTGAGAACCACTGCACTAGGTAACAGGGCCCACTCAATAGCACATCAACTCATTCAAGCATTTATTATCTTTAATTAATTAAATAAACATTAATTAATATTCAAGCATATATTATCTACTAGCATACTTAATGTGCAAGAGTTGGGAACAGGTGGGACGCCGTGGCTCATACCTGTAATCCCAGCACTTTCGGAGATCGAGGCAGGCAGATCGCTTGAGCTCAGGAGTTAAAAACCAGCCTGGGCAGCAGAGCGAAACCCCATCTCTACAAAAAATATATGGTTTGCTGAAAGTAATTATAAGGAATGAAATGATAAATAAAATTTAAAAACAACCAAAAAAAAGAAAACTAAAGAAAGAACACAAAAAATTAGTCAGGTGTGATGGTGTGTACCAGTGGTCTCAGCTGCTCGGGAGGCTGAAGTAGAAGGATCATTTGAGCCTGGGGGTCGAGGCTGTAGTGAGCCAAGATCATACCACTGGACTCCAGCCTGGGTGACAGAGTAAAACCCTGTCTATAAATTTTTTTTTTTTTTTTTTAAAGAGGCCAGGCTGGGCATGGTGGCTCACACCTGTAATCCCAGTACTTTGGGAGGCCAAGGCAGGCGGATCACCTGAGGTCAGGAGTTCAAGACCAGCCTGGACAACATGGTGAAACCCCATCTCTACTAAAAGTACAAAAACTGGCCAGGCATGGTGGCACACGCCTGTAATCCCAGCTACTTGGGAGGCTGAGGTACAAGAATCGCTTGAACCTGGGAACCCAGGAAGCGGAGGTTGCGGTGAGCTGAGATCGCACCATTGCACTCCACCCTGAGCAACAAAGCAAAACTCTGTATCAAAAACAAACAAACAACAACAACAACAAAAAGCCAGTGGCTCATACCTGTAATCCCAGCACTTTGAATTTTGAGAGTCCGAGGTAGGCAGAAAACGTGAGGTCAGGAGTTCGAGACTAGCCTGGCTAACGTGGCGAAACTTGTCTCTACTAAAAATACAAAAACTAGCCAGGCATGGTGGCACACGCCTGTAGTACTAGCTACTCAGGAGACTGAGGCAGGAAAATTACTTGAACCTGGGAGGCAAAGTTTGCAGTGAGCCAAAATCACGCCACTGCACTCCAGCCTGGGCAACAGAGGGAGACTCCATCTCAAAAAAACAAAAAACAAAAAAAAACAGTTGGGGCCAGGTATGGTGGCTCATGCTTGTAATCCCAGCATTTTGGCAGGCTGAGGCAGGCAGATGCCTTGAGGTCAGGAGTTCAAGACCAGCTTGGCCAACATGGCAAAACTCCGTCTCTACTAAAAATACAAAGATTAGCTAGGCAAGGTGGTTCACGCCTATAATCCCACCTACTTGGAAGGCAGAAGCAGAAGAATCGCTTGAACCCAGAAGACAAAGGTTGCAGTGAGCCAAGATCGTGCCACTGCACTCCAGCCTGGGGGTCTTCTAAGGAGTGACACTCTATCTCCATCAATCAATCAATCAATCAATCAATTAATACTTTGGGATTAAAAGAGAGTGGAACAAGAGCCAGAGCAAACAGACAATGCTCAAAAAAAAGTAAGAAAAACCACACCAGCTACGACATATGGTAGGTGTCTAAAACAAATTAGGTTTACAACATAATTAAGAAAGGATCTAATAGAGGATATTTTCAAGGTAGATATGAGTGGGATTTTTTTCAAGCTAATAGGAAATGATGTAGCACCACAGATATCTTAAAAGTTGAACCAAACAATTACAATCGACTTCTATTATTTAAAAATAAAGTTTACCTGTAGCATTTGTTGAAGAAGCAGAATGCTACTGGGAGAGAGCCACTTGGGAACATCATATTTTCCTCTCTACAAAAAACAAAACATTTAAGAGGTTCAGGTTCAATCAGCCTTGACACAAATTCCTTAGGTAATAACATGCTGGAGGTTTACTTTTAAGCTTGAAGACTTCTCCCAACTACAATACTTGGTAAACATTATTAACTAAAAAAAATCAATTTCTTGGCTGGGCGTGGTGGCTCACACCTGCAATCCCAGCACTTTGGGAGGTCAAGGCAGGCAGATCACCTGAAGTCAGGAGTTCAAGACCAGCCTGGCCAACGTGGTGAAACCCTGTCTCCACTAAAAATACAAAAATTAGCCAATCGTGGTGGCAAGCGCCTGTAATCCCAGCTACTCAGGAGGCTGAGGCAGGAGAATCACTTGAACCCGGGAGGCGGAGGATGCAGTGAGCCAAGATCGCGCCTCTGCACTCCAACCTGGGCAACAAGAGTGAAACTCCATCTCAAAAAAAAATAAAATAAAATAAAAAAATCAAAGAACAAAATTGAGCATATTAAATACTATCATTGCCTCTAAATTACCCACATATCAGAGAAGGGCTAGAGCACAAAGAACGTAACTGCAGAAAACATAAATGTAATACGGCTTTGGAATCTGTAGTATTAAAGGGACAGCAAGTAAACACTGTAGTCCATTTTTGTACTGCTGAAACAAGTATTAGTCTATAATCTCAGAGCAATTATCAGTTGACAAAATGAAGCAGCAGAAAAGCATATTTGGTGACAGGACATAGGCTATGGTTAAAAACAGGTCATCCACAAAACAGAATTTACAATCTTTGAGGAAAACTAGTGAAAGCCACTTTCTAAGTTAAATACCTCTTTTAGGACTAAAAGAGACTAAGAAGGCAAATGTATACAACCTAGTATACTCAGAAATTATGGCCAGCAAGTCATCAAAGATAAGATCAGGCACTTGGCTAAATACTAACACATGACAGAATATCTCTTATAAACCTGCCACACACATCCTCTTTCCCAATTCAGAGGAAGCAATACTATAGTTTCTCACAGCAGAAATCACATTGTTTAATGATGCTAAGATAACAGGTTATTTGAGAAAAATTGATTGAACTGTAACTCACAGAACATACCAAAATTAATTCCACCCAGATTAAATGAAAATACAAAACCAGGCTGGGCACGGTGGCTCACAACTATAATCCCAGCACTTTCGGAGGCCAAGGCAGGTGGATCACGAGGTCAGGAGTTCCAGACCATCCTGGCTAACAAAGGGAAACCTCGTCTCTACTAAAAATACAAAAATTAGCTGGGCGTGGTGGCAGGCACCTGTAGTCCCACCTACTCGGGAGGCTGAGGCAAGAGAATTGCTCGAACCCAGGAGGCAGAGGTTGCAGTGAGCTGAGATTGCGCCACTGCAGCACTCTAGCCTGGGCGACAGAACAAGACTCTGTCTCAAAAAAAAAAGGGAAATACAAAACAAAACCATAAGAGTACTTAAAGAAAGCATGAGTGATTATTTTTATAATCTTTCTAGACATGACAGCAAAGCCAACCACTATAAAGAATAATATATGACAAAATTAACATTTGATATTTCTGTATAACAAAACATCATTGGCCGGGCATGGTGGCTCATGCCTGTAATCCCAGCACTTTGGGAGGCCGAGGTGGGTGGATCAAGAGGTGGTCAAGAGATCAAGACCATCCTGGTCAATATGGTGAAACCCTGTCTCTACTAAAAATACAAAAATTAGCCGGGCGTGGTGGCACACACCTGTAGTCCCAGCTACTCGGGAGGCTGAGGCAGGAGAATTGCTTGAATCCGGGAGGTGGAGGTTGCAGCGAGCCAAGATCATACCACTGCACTCCAGCCTGCCAACAGAGCGAGACTCCGTCTCAAAAAAAAAAAAAATCATTAACAAAGTTAACAACAAATTGAGAAAAAGCCTTTTCCAAAGGTCACAGGAAACTGTCAGACTACTGCTGACTTCCAGAGAGTCGGCTAGAGCATCTAAAACCCCCCCTTCCCAGGGATAGGCATGGAGCCCAGGCAGCAGTGAGCCTTCAGGTTGGGATCCAGTTGGCCGTACCTGAGGCTTGGTAGGTAAAAATAAATTCAAAGTTTCATTGCTATAATTCAAAAACAAACTCTGAGCCGGGCACAGTGCCTCATGTCTGTAATGCCAGCACTTTGGAAAGCCAAGGTCAGGAGTTTGAGACAAGCCCAACCAACATGGTGAAACCTTGTCTCTACTAAACACAAAAAATTAGCCAGGCATGGTGGCCCATGTCTGTAATCCCACCTATTTGGGAGGCTGAGGCAGAAGAATCACTTGAACCCAGGAGGTGGAGGTTGCAGTGAGCAGAGATTGCACCATTGCATTCCAGCCTGGGCAACAAGAGTGAAACTCCATCTCAAAAACAAAACAAACAAAAAAACTTTGTTAGTTTCTGTCTCTGGCAAGTGTTAAGGTGCCCTGGCAAGGTATAAATAAGAATGAGTTCTCAGGCTGGGCGCTGTGGCTCACGCCTGTAATCCCAACACTTTGGGAGGCCAAGGCGGGTGGATCACCTGAGGTCGGGAGTTTGAGACCAGCCTGACCAACATGGAGAAACCCCGTCTCTACTAAAAATACAAAATTAGTCAGGTGTGGTGGCAGGCACCTATAATTCCTAGCTACTCAGGAGGCTGAGATAGGAGAATTGCTTGAAGCTGGGAGGCGGAGGTTGCAGTGAGCCGAGATCACGCCATTGCACTCCAGCCTGGGCAACAAGAGCGCGACTCTTGTCTCAAAAAAAAAAAGGGCTCTCTGGGTAATATTGAGTGCTTTAAAGGGAATAAAAATGTAATAATATTAAAAGGCATTTGTAAAATGAAAGCTACTGTTCTTCCTAGGAAACACTCATAGGTCAGTGTGTCTACTCTCATCAGAGAGGTTGATTTTTGACCCTTTCTTTTTAGATTCATTGTTTGACAATGCTTCTCTGGGACTTTGATTATTTCTTTAACATAATCAAAAGCCAGCCTGCCTTAACATCTTAGGACTCTGAGTAATCCATACCTGTCTATTTTCTCCTTCACCTTTAAGGTGGACTGATTCTGTAAGAATTATATCCTACACAGTTCATAAGAACAGAGAACCCCAATGCCACTACAAGTCAATGGCTTCCTCACCTACCTGCCTCCATCCTTCTAGCCGCATTCATTTACAGTTGGCGTGTGTGTGTGTGCGCGCGCGTGCTTGTGATTGTCCTTGTCTCCCTTGTGTTCCCAGACTAAACTGAGAGTCGGGCTGCTACTTCTTTTCTTTTGTTTTTTGTTTTTTTTTTTCTGGAGATGGAGTTTCACTCTTGTTGCCCAGGCTGGAGTGCAATGGCGCGATCAGCCTTCGCCTCCTGGGTTCAAGCAATTCTCCTGTCTCAGCCTCCAGAGTAGCTGGGATTACAGGTGCCTGCCACTACACCTGGTTAAATTTTTGTATTTTTAGTAGAGATGGGGTTTTGCCATGTTGGTCAGGCTGGTCTCAAACTCCTGACCTCAGGTGATCCGCCCACCTCAGCCTCCCAAAATGCTGGGATTACAGCCGTAAGCTACCTCGCCCAGCCTCTTGGGCTGCTATTTCTTGTGGCCCAATGACAAGATGTAGATGAACTGCGGAGGAAGAATTTTTATCTCTGTAACCAGCCACAGGGAAAAGGCCTGGAAATTATCACCAGACCAACTCAAAATTACCAAGTTTTCCAGAGCTTATATATCTTCTAAGCTATATGTCTACATGTAAGTGTGTATTTATCTAAAAACATAAGTGATGGCCGGGCGCGGTGGCTCAAGCCTGTAATCCCAGCACTTTGGGAGGCCGAGACGGGCGGATCACGAGGTCAGGAGATCGAGACCATCCTGGCTAACACGGTGAAACCCCGTCTCTACTAAAAATACAAGAAAATTAGTCGGGCGAGGTGGTGGGCGCCTGTAGTCCCAGCTACTCGGGAGGCTGAGGCAGGAGAATGGCGTGAACCCAGGGGGGCGGAGCTTGCAGTGAGCCGAGATCGCGCCACTGCACTCCAGCCTGGGGCACAGAGCAAGACTCCGTCTCAAAAAAAAAAAAAAAAAAAAACAAAACAAAACATAAGTGATTAACTTATTTTAAGCTATAACTAAGGTCTGAGTCCCGAAGACCTTCTGGAGCCTCAGTAAGTTTACTTAATCTAAATGGGTCTAGGTGCTGGGGTGATTACCCTTATCTTGTATCCTGCTAAATCATAAAGGTTTGGGGAGTTCCTTTAGACTCCAATGAAATTTTTTGTGCAGGCCTGGGGAATTTCTTCAGACCCCCAGTATAATTTGTTTAATCCTAAAAGGGTCCTGATAAGAATTCCTTTGTTATCTTGCTATGCTTCAAGGCCCTGGAAAAGCGTAGGCAAAACTCTTGGTGGGCTCTTTGTTACACTCCAGCCTTGGTATAAGGGCACTGGCTCAATCAGCTTTTAATGTATAACCTAGCTGCTCAGTCAGTGCTGAGACAGTTGTAATAGAGGCCTGCATTAGTGAGACCTGGCCTGCCACACTTGCACTTACATTTCTAACCTAGAATCCTTATTCAGTGCATTTTGTCTTTCATTCATTTTGGAGACCCTCTGGAGTTTGTCATAGACCAGTTCCTAATATCATAAACAATTCTGTGATGAATGTTATTCTTCATAATTTTTTTTTTTTTGAGATGGAGTCTCATGGTACAATCTTCGCTCACTGCAACTTCTGCCTTCCGGGTTCAAGCCATTCTTCTGCCTCAGCCTACTGAGTAGCTAGGATTATAGGTGTGCACCATCATGCCTGGCTAATTTTTGCATTTTAAGTAGAGACAGGGTCTCACCATGTTGGCCAGGCTGGTCTCAAACTGCTGACCTCAGGTGATCCACCCGCCTCAGCCTCCCAAAGTGCTGAGATTACAGGCATGAGCCACTGTGCCCTGCTCAAAGTTTGTTTTTGAACTACAGCAATGAAGCCTTGAATTCATTTCTCCCCACCATGCTTCATCTACAGCC